CTTACACTTACAGTATATATACAGTGACACACACTTACACTTACACTTACAGTATATATACAGTGACATACACTTAGATACAGTATGTACACATTATATTACGCACACTGAGACAGCAGTATGCACACACTGTTAAACACAGAAAGACAATAACACCCTGCTATGCACACAATACACAATCATTCACACTTCTACATGTACACAATGCTACAAACAGACAGGCATAGTACACATGGTGTAAGTAATGTATTAGTGGTTTAGGGAATATCCCCGTCCAAATGGTTTTTTTTTCCACTTATGTCATTCCATGTGATGTTAAAGGACCACTATAGTGCCAGGAAAACAAACTCATTTTCCTGGCATTATAGTATTAATAGGTCCCCCTCACCCTCATGGCCCCCCTCCCACTGGGCTGAAGGGAGAGGAAGGGATTAAACACTTACCTTTCTCCAGCACCGGGCTCCCTCAGCGCTGGGGACTCTCCTCCTCCTTCGGTCGTCATCAGCTGAATGCGCATGCACGGCAATTCTCAATACTTTCCTATGGACGCTGGCGTCTTCTCACTGTGATAATAACAGTGAGAAGCGCGGAAGTGCCTCTAGCGGCTGTCAATGAGACAGCCACTAGAGGCTGGATTAACCCTAAAGTAAACATAGCAGTTTCTCTGAAACTGCTATGTTTACCACAGGCAGGGTTAAACTTAGCTGGACCTGGCACCCAGACCACTTCATTGAGCTGAAGTGGTCTGGGTGCCTATAGTGCTCCTTCAAGTAACATTAGGTGATGTTGCGTTTTGCTATGCCACACATATATAATTAATTATGTAAATTAGCATTGCAGGTATTTGTTTCCAAAAAAAGGCATCAACCCTAGATTCACAGTCCCCACTGATAAAAAGTATGCGTGCAACATTATGCTGCCACTGCTAGGCTCGCAATGCTTTGAGACATGTTCAGAGCTTGGAATATTTTTTTTCTTACTCCAATCCTTTTCCAGAACTTTATTCTGGATGTTTTAATATATGCTCCATGGTCTTCATCATGCTGTTTATTTAGATATGCCTTCCAGAACGAGTGTTATATCCTGAGATCATGTGAAACTTTCATCGTACACATTATTCAACGAACTGTGACTGTGGCTAAAGGAAGCCTGATGTATATGTGGAGTAAATCAAATGAAAACATAGGAAAAATGATAGATGTATAAAAATAGTCACTCGCTTGATGACTGCTGATCAATGAATAGTTAGGGTGCTTATTACAACACAAAGCAAAACACAAATGCTAAACTTTCATCAAGAAAAAAAAATGCCCAAAACAGCAATTAAAAAAGTAATGAAAAATACACAATTGTTTTCTTCATTCAATATTCCAGCCTGGGCAGGGATCTGTTAGTGTTCGACCGAGCCACGAGTGCCATATTATTGGTGAATTCCCCTTTTTGCCGTGTCCCAGTCTGTAATGAAGAAACAAAGATTTTTATTTTATTATTCTTCTAATAGCTGTTTTGGGTATTGGTTTTTCCTGAAAGTTCGGCTTTCGTTATTTGCTTCATGTCTTTTGCAGAAACAGAACCTGCTATTGCCCTTCAGCATTGTGTTGTCCCACTGAGTTATTTTATTGTTTGGCCTCTGGCAATAAAGTATCTTTTAGTTATTAAAATACTCACATGGACTTCTCCCAGAGCGCCACCTCATAGAGAGGGTAGTAAAAAAGGCAAAATTAAGTGTAACCATTGCAGTAAAATAGGTTCTCGTAATAAATTTTATAGAATCATAAAGTGGCATAGGGTGGTCGTAACACACAAAAAAACTATACTAGCCAACGCAAGTTTAAAAAAAGCTGCAAGTCCTTCTCTAATGGGAATACTTTCTTCTGCCTATTAGGAGACAGCACTCTATATATTATTCAGATAATTCCTTTTAGTGGATGTTTCGTAGAATATATAAACCATAAGGAAAATGTGAGCAATATATTCCAAATATAGAAGATTGAAGCTTTGTAGATGTTACCCATTCACCTATTAAAAGGCCAAACTGACCTGACCTATTCAGTGTGACATGTGGCTGTGACAATGTAACAATATACACGGTATATAGCAACATTTAACAAGTTACTATCTGTATAATCAGTGTAATGATAATAAATAAGAAATGATCTCTCACCTGATGGATGAAAGGTTGCACTGAAGGCAAAAGGGAGTAAAATGACTGCAGTCCTGCTGGAATGGCCAAAAAGGTTAAAAGGTTACACCAATCAGTGATTTGAAGTGGCCATGTTGCTTGGGGTCTGTGAGTGCAAAGATTTGCTTTGAAACAATATATATATGAAGTTTAACACCATTGCTGCCAGTGGAGTAACTCCACCTACATCAGTGTCATTGGGGCATCATCTGCAACTCGGGGACTGGCTAATGTCAAGTCTGTGCATATTCAGTCAGCTGACGCTCTCAGACAATGAATGACCGGTGGGATTGACTTTTTTCCTCTGCAGCTCTGACCCAGGTAAGAGGACAAACAATTACAAAACAGTTTGCTTTCTTACCATGAAATGGGGCCAGGGTACTCCTTGCATCAAAACCAATACAGTGGGCGACAGAAGGTATGGTGCTTGAAGGGGCCCTTTTAATCCAGAGTTTTTCATAAACTGTAAAAACATCTAGAAAAGGCCATTTATGTCTGCCATAGCCTAGGAATTTGTAATTTTTTTCTTGTGTCAAAATAAATCTTGGATTACATACTGTGTATTGTAACTACGCCATTTACTATAACCTAGGGGAATATACACTACAGTGCTCTTAGCTAATTAAAGTTCAGCATGGAGCCATTTTTTGTTGATGCTGAATATTTCCGTGCTTCTGGTTTATATATCTGTACAAACAAGGATGAGACATATATAAACATACAGCACACAGAATCTAGTGGGGTATTCGGAAAAATGAGAACATATTCCACATCTCTCTTTGCTCTATGCGGGGGAAACAAAGGGGGAAAGGGAGGAAAATTAGAAAGGAAATGAAGGAAGGAAGGAAGGAAAGGATGCATGTATTAATTACATTATAATAAAGTCACAGAGCTCACTGGATATCTTTTAAAGGTCTATAATGAATAAGTGGATACAGTAAGTGATAATTTGCATGCACGTGGCAGTGGTTTGATTTCAATATTCCCCATTCTCAAAATTGTGAATGTTGTGTGTTCCTTAACCCCTTAAGGACACATGACAGTGTGACATGTCATGATTCCCTTTTTTTCCAGACGTTTGGTCCTTAAGGGGTTCAAGGATACAATTAGCACCAATAGGACATTCAGGCAAAAGAACGTTTTTCTGCTTGTCATCTCCTCGTCCTGCAAGATGGTCTCCTCGGTGCAACATTGCTTGATTTTTCAGTAGACAGAATGCACAGCTTTCGATAGATTCCTCTTTACTTTTTTGTATCTAGATATTAATTTTGTGTCTGATGGCTCCTTAGCTAGAGAGCCAGTTCTGGTGGATATTCATCAACGGTGCTTTGATGTTACAGTCTGCACTCACACACGGCCCATAATAATCCAACCTTTGATATAACATTCAACACAGTATTCAGATAATTCATATAGCATTCCCGCTCTGTGCACTGCATTCAGATCTGCATCTGCATTTAGATTGTCCCCACAACATTCACACAAAACAAAAATATATTACCCCCCCAGCATTCACACCATACCCACAATGTTTGTCTTTTTTAGGTGGGGAATGGGTAACAGCTGAAGGTAAGGTGTTCCTGGAATTTCTGTGTCTACAGGTGCTGAGATATAAATCCAACCAAGTGATGTCCAACAACAAGTGTATTTTGTGTTTGGTAGAAGGCAGCCTTGTTTTTATCAATCGTATCTGTCGTTTGAAGTCCAGAATGACAATTACAATTATTTCTATATTGCTGACATATTCTGCTGCGCTGTACTATAATTAGAACATGACATACAAAACTTAATGCTGTTTAGTGAATAGGCCACTATGTGCTCGCCCACATACAGATTTAAATGAGATAATACAGACAAATAATATTGAGTCATCCAAAATACAGTGCAGCATAGTGGATTTGTAGAAACCTTTAATTAGATTCTAATTAAGTTTGATGTTGAATGAACGAGGCTTGCAAAGCAACATTCTAATGACAGAGCAGGCTTTGATGTGTATTCGTCCATAAACTGTTAATCATAAAAATTAGCTTTTCAGTAAATGTTATTGTATTATTGTCTGTTTAGTGCAAATATTCTATGCACATTTGTTAAACATATTAGAAAACGTCTTCTTTCCAGCAATTTAAAGCGCGGTTGAAGTTGGTATCAATGCAAGCCATGCGAATACTTTTTAAATAGTGTTCTGTGTATAAAAGATAATATACGCAGTTTTAATTACTCATTGATTTTTCCAAGTATACATGACCAGGTGCCTTAATCATTTTAGAATCTTTACAGCATAGCTTTTAGCAAATCATATTTTAATGCTTGACTATAGCCAAAATTGATACCCGGCCAAACATGACAATGAACACGTCTACTGAATTATATTACGCATAGCCCGAGATCATTAGCTAAGTGAATAAATTAACTACATAGTTTTATAGGGAGCAATCACTACTAAATAATGTACAAAGAAAATATTTTAAATAGCTACTGTTTATTTTTCATTTTTAAATGCAGGGAGATAAAATGGCCATAACATCATTCCACTTTCAATATCTTGTGGTTTTTGGTTTGCAGTGCACTTCACAACATTTCTGAGTCAGGGTGATGCTCTTTGATACTTATAGTCCATGACAGTGATGGCTAGAATCACTGATTTGGGAATCCGAAAAGTAATTCTCCAGCAAGATTGCTTTAGCCTTAGATGGCGATAGCGTGGAGCTCAGCAGGCGTCGGATGTAATGAGGGACTTCAGTATCTGTGATGTCCTTAGGGACACTCCGAATCCTGAGGTTATGCTGTCACTTGGAGTCTTCAAGCGCTGCAATTCTACCTTCCATGAGGAGGTTTGCTTGCTTAAACTTGTCCATCTCGGACTGCTGATCATCCTGTCTGCCTTTTGCAATTTCACCAGAGACCTCCAGTGCCTGTAGTCTAGCTGTTATGGCCCCCAAGTCCTCCCAGACCAATGCGATGTCAGCAGCAAATAGGGCTTTCATCTCCTTCAGAAGGTTTTGAATATAGGCCTTGCTTGCAGGCGTTTGTTCCAGGCTGAGGTTGGGTCTTGTCTGCCGACCCACAGGTAAGTACTTCAGCTGAGGCTTAGGATTTGCCCTTGTTTCACTCTGTGTAATGGGGAATGAGAAGTCTTCTGTTTCTCTCTCCTCTGATGCAATGTCGGAGTCCTTCCTCACAGGCGCTATTTTAGTAGACTGCAGTTGTGGAGTCACTCTGAGCAAAGTGCAAATATCTTTTGAAGAAGAGGCTATGTCGCTTCTCTGGAGTTTAGCTTTTTGCCCCAAAGTGCCTGGACATCTTTTGGGAGAATATTGCCCAATTTTACCAGGTATATGCCGTTGTAATTCACTGCTCTTAGCATGTGCATCTGCTCTAGGTTGGTGGCTAGCACCCAAATCACTTCTTTGTTGACAACATTTTTACGATACGCAGTCAACCTTTGACAATGGTCTATAAAAGGGATGAGCATCATTTGGAAATCCAAAATACTAGATTAATTCTCCTGATTGAATAGGGTGCCATAGAAATGAGGTCCTGTGGTGTATATATTGTGCTTGAAGGGAACCATCGTGAAGAAAGCATTGGTGATGACAATGACAAATGTTATCACAATGTATGGAACAGTTCCGATGCTCTTATATATGTTCAATATATTCATAATGGGAGATTTATCAAAGTAAAATAGGAGCTCTCTTGAATGAAAAATGCTAAATATTCAGAGAATTTCTGTTGCTTTCCATAGTGTTTGGTCCTTGTTTAGCTCCTTATCCGAGAATAGCATGTTTTTGCCTCAATAAATCTCCCCCACATAGTGTAAAACCAGTTAAAACTATAGAAAGCTTTGAAATGTTGAGAATTCTGATTCTTCCAATGATTCACAAATTTACAATTCAGGATAGAATTCTGCTGATTTATTGGTTGAGCTTGAACAATATCAGCACCTTACATCTCTCCATAGAACCTTTCAACATTTCCTAAAATCTATGTTTTAGCCTTTTAAGGACTATATTCATAAACCCATGGTTAATGAAGACCTCGGGCCATTTCACGTTTCTAACTTTGTACAATCCCATATTCATGAGAAGAGTGGGATATTGACTTTCAACTTAGGATATGTTAAGCTGTTTTGTTTTGATGGATTATTCCATCATTAGTCCTTAAAGGGATAAATACTGACCCCTACCACCTACAATGCTGATTTAATTTAATTATTTACATTACTACGATGTGCCATTAAATCATAATTCATATAGCCTTAGAAGACCACATGGAGAGCATGGATTGTCTTGCTATTTGTCACCAGCAGGAGGAAGCAGAGAAGCAAAAAACTATTCTGGAAATATTCTATGCAAAATGGTCCCCTGAAAAGATTGCAAATAATCCCAGGAAAATCCCTAGTGGAGCTACGTGCTTATTAAAAATTTAGTATATTTAGTTTGTAGACTAATAAACTGCCTGAAATGAGGGCATTATAATGTGGCATAGCAGGATTTGTTTGTGTCATTGCATATAGCTGAGTGAAAGAGGGCACTGAGGATGAATGGACTGGAGATATATCAACAAGGTGATACACACTATCACAAAAAAGCGTGAGCTCTTAAGGTGCGACATAGTGTTTATAAAGCTTACTTTCGTTCATACATTAAGCAGTCACAACTGTTGAATGGGAATATTGCTCGAATATTGTGTGGTGGCAATGTATGCAAGTGATAATGAGGTTAGGGAATGGTAATTTAAATTAACAAACACGGTTTGTCATGAACCATCATATACCGCTCCATATAACATTGGATCATGACAGACAACCATTATCTTGATTACATGAAAAAGAATCAGGAAAATTGATGTAAATGCACATTCTATAGCATGACTAAATACCCATTACTATGGCATATCTGCAAGTAGTCAAAGTCATAATTTAGGAACGCGTATTACTTGGGTTGCAAAAAAATATTATATATTATATCACAACCCTATAGGATTAAACTCCTATTAGACATCGCAAATCACCCATAGCGTGTTTTCCTCATTTAATGTTCTGTCTAAAAGCTCGGAGGAAATGGCCCTTTTATGGAGCTCAGTGCATTTAGTGATGAATAGTAAGACATTTATTTATTTCTGTCATAAATTACAACTAGCATAAAGTGATGGCCTTAGCACATCTTCCTATAAAATAACACGTTGCATTATTTATGGATTTTTTAAGTAGAATTTTATAGCTTTTTTTTTTCTAAATACCTAATGTATTCTAATAATTTTAAATGTTGCTTGTTATGCATTGAGTACTATGTGCATAGTTATATCCTTAGCCACACTGAACACAAACTGTGTATCGTATGATATGTATATGTAGTTTAGAGACACGGTCAGCTTTATATCTCGGGTGCCCCTACCTACCCTCATATCTCCAATTCTCTGTTGCTTGTTTCATGATTAGCAGAGTTAAAGAGAAGTACATCTGTCACTCCCTCCACACATAAAAGAACAAGTGCAATAACCAAACAGGAAAACATACATAGCAAAATATAACAAAAATAAATATGCAAGTTCGTTGTCAGGGCAGTAGGGTTTGGAGTCCACAAACTCTAAATCAGCTGAGCTATCCTATCATACTATTCAGTTAATTTGGAATTTGGATACATTTCAGTTCAGAATTTCAAAATTCAGCCAGATATGCGATTGGCTGAAATTCATCTGAATGTCTAGCAATATGCACTTACATATTTAAATATGTTTATTTACTGCTTGAAAATTCTGATTAAACAAAACAGAATAAAAACAAATCCTTTTTTTTCCCCCAACCACTTATACAAATCCGGATTTCCCAATAGACAGCATAGGCGATCCACCGGGTCTGGAGCTCCTGTTCTGGCAGTAAAGGGCCTTCCTTGAGATGGCAGAGAGATCTAGCGATAGGTGAAGTAGTCTCCCCGGGACCCTCATTAGGCATCTCTAATGAGGAATTCAGTCAGACACTTTATCTCTGCACTAGAAAGAACCCCTGGTTTGCCAGGTCTGGCATGGGATATCTGTGACAAACAGGTTTAGAGAGATAGACACAGCAGTGGGATTCAGAATATGATAGCATCAGTCATCTGACTCTGGGTTTGCAGAGTGGTACTAACTTCTGCAAGCCCCCTGCTATCACCTTTAAAACCACCCTCATTTGTCCCCAGAGAAGCCATCCTACTGCACCCAAAAGATAAGGGAACAGAAGGTTGGCAAAAAATATGAATACCGTGACTTATTTCTGTGTATTTATCATTGTGTGTATTATAATTTGCATATCTGTACCTGTGTGCATCTGTGTGTCAGGTGTCTGTCACTTTGTAAATATAAGTGTGTGTGTGTGTGCACAGTCGCCAAACTACCACTGGAGCAGCTGGTGAGGCTGCATCAAGACCTGCAAGCTCATTGGGCCCATCAAAAGCTGTGACCCATTAACAGTGCAACTAATGCCCCTGGTCTGTGAGAAACCGTGATAGTGCAAGGAAGTGAATACAAGTCACTTCCTCCCAGCATGCCATCGAGAAATCTTTTTGCACCAAGGCCCTCTCTACTTTAGTTACCCTACTGTGTGTGTGTATGCATGTGTATATGTTTGCATGTGTACTCTACAAAGAAATAACACTTCCCTGCACATACACTCAACAGTCAGGCTCCTCTACATAAAGACCTCAGACACCACACACAAAACACTCAATCAGCACACATGGGCACACTCAACCTCCCCCACATACAGCTCTCATGCTTCTCCACACAAACAGACTCAGCCACCGCACACACTCTCAAACGCACAAACCTCACAGAAACAGACCCCTCGGCCTCAGGAGGGGGCCACAGTCAGGGGCTATGGCACTTACATATTCCTCTATCTTAATGAAATAGCAATGTGAACTATATTTTGTGGGATTTAGAGGGAAAAAATCCAATAAAACACTTTGCCATAATAAAGTTTTATTAACAAAATTTGATTTATGCTAATAAAAAACAGCAAATAAGTTAATGACAATTGTGTTTTACTGAAAACAACAGAAAAGCAGTAATATCTCTTCAACATTGAGACAAAGTTTGAACTTTTTTAGTGAATGTGTTAATCTAAGACAGAGTAACAAGAATTAAAGGGACACTATAGTCACCTGAACAACTACAGCTTAATGTATTTGTACAGGTGAGATCTATAGCTCCCTGCAGGCAATCTAATGTAAACACTGTATTATCAGAGAAAATACAGTGTTTACATTGATTGACAGGAATACCTCCAGTGGCCATCACTCAGACGGCCACCAGAGGGACTTCCTATCATGTATGGCCCTAAAAAGGCCATGTACACTTCAGACATATTAAAATACGCCTGACGTGTGCAGGAGAGAGAAGGCACTGTGTGCGCGCCTTCTCTCTCCTGCCTGTCAGCAGAGGAAAGGGGGCGGGCAAAGACTGCGAGCTGAGCTGTCAGTCAGTTCAGCTCGCGGCCGTGAAAACCGTGCGCATGCGCGGTAGTGCGCTCAGGACTTCAAAGGGCAGCATTCATCGAAGTATGTTCGCATGTGCGGCGAAGCCACGCATGCACACAAGAGAGCAATGACACTTCCGAATGGAAGCGTCTGATTGCTCCCTGCTCGTGCCCGCCTATTTCATCATTTTTATGAAATAGGGGGCGCGGCTTCACGAGGCTCCCTGCACTGGAACGAGGTGAGTAAAAAGGGTTGCCTGAAGTGTCCCTTTAACAAACTGTATTTTCTGTCAAATAGAAAATTATTTAACTTGCCTATAACAAATTCCACTGTGTGCATCATTTACAGCAATGACAACTCAAGGTCAATACTTTAATCCACTAAGGTCCATGTACCTTTTCATTCTTCTAAGGTCAATGAAATACTTACTGAATTTGTGGAGTAATATTTTGTGTCCGATAATTTTTTTAATGGATAAAATACCTACAATAAGCACATGATTGTAAATATTTTTTATCAAACTTAGCTGACAATGTTTCACTACTTGCTGCACAGCAGTAACCTTTTTAACCACAATGGGGCACTGGGCAAATCTCACATTTTTAAAGAACATTGTGTAAGATGTGGCTCTGAAATTGACTTAGAACAACAATGGTTTGCTGGCTTGCTATGGAGGCTTGACGTTACTTGTGTTAAACAATCTATTAACTATCCACTGACAGGTGGAAGGGGTTTTCATCCACAATTCTTTCCCCACCACAACTCTTTTGGTCTGTGCTTCACAAGTATTGCAAAGACTCCAAAGCAAGACAGTAACCAACCTCATGCTGATGAGTTGCATTA